GTGGTCACACCCAGGGCTTTGTGGGTGCAAGACACTCTGCTGAACTACAGACCTAGGCCCTTTCCCTTATGAGACAGGATTCCATGTAGCCCAGGCTGGTCTTAAACCCAATACTGGGATTATAAGTGTGCTATCATACCTGCTTTTCTGTTTTTGTTTGAGACAAATCTCATACTAGTTCAGACTAGTTTAGGACTATGTAATCTAGACTGGCCTCAAACTCTAGGCAATCCTCCTGCCTGTCTGGAGCGCTGGAATTACAGGTGTGAGCTGTGTGGGGCAGCTATGTGGTTTGGCTATCCTCTCTGTTCCTCGATTTCTCTCCATAGGATTGCTGTGAAAATTAGTTTGTATGTATGGAATGAGATTAAAAGTCTTTCTTTTTTTCTTTTTCCCCCGAGACAGGGTTTCTCTGTGTAGTAGTCCTGGCTGTCTTGGAACTAGCTCTTGTAGACCAGGCTGGCCTCGAACTCACAGAGATCCACCTGACTCTGCCTTCTGAGTGCTGGGATTAAAGGCGTGAGCCACCACCGCCCGGTGAGATTAAACAGTCTTGCATGCAGCAAGCAGTTGCAAAGTGCTATTAATATTTTTGAAAGTAATATGAATTTGACAATCCAGTCCCAACATAGAGGGAGGTATCAGGGAGGTGGGGGCCCACACCTTTAATCCCAGAATTTGGGGAGGCAGAGGCAGGTGAATCTCTATGAGTTCGAGGCCAGCCTGGTCTAGAGAGTTCCAGGACAACTAAAGCTATACAAGAGAAACCCTACCTTAAAAACCAAAAATAAATAATAAAGAAGATTACTGAAATGTGAACACACAGACAGCAGTATCGTATTGGGGCTTGGATCTACCTCTCCGGGACAGTAAGGAGTCCAGAGTGCCTCCCCACTCCCCAGTTGGGTGTTTTGAATACTTTCTTCCTCAGGCTACTGGGTCCTGGCTTGGCCCTGGCACTTGTAAGCTTGGAACTGGGAGCAGTACCTTCCCCTCCGCCCTCTCTCTCAGAGGCTGAGATCAAGGGCTTAGTGGCAATGGAGGTAGCATTCATTCCCACAGACAGCTGGAGTCAAGGCTCAGGCTGTCTTTGAGAATGCAGCAGTGCCCTCTGCTGGGAAGCCTGCATTCAACAAGAAACAGATTTACATCAAGAATGTTATCCTGTTCCAGAATCTTTTTCTTTTTTTGTCTCTGGTCTGTTTTAGAGTGCTTCCTCCTTTCCTAATCTTGGGTTCTCAGTCACTAGTACCAGAGTTGTGTGTCTCACCACACGACGAAAGCTGCCCACCTAAAGAGCTCTGGGAATGTCCGGAGCACTGCGGAAGGTTTGAAAGGTCTTCCTAAAGTCCAGCTGATTTTCCCCTGCACTTCTACTTTTTCTTTCTTCTTATTTATTATTGTTGTTGTTATGTTTTTAAAGACAGGGTTTCTCTGTGTAGCCCTGGCTGTTCTAGGACTCACTCTGTGGACCAGGCTGGCCTCGAACTCAGATACACCTCCCTCTGCCTCCCAGTGCTGGCATTAAGGGCGCGTCACCATGCCCAAGCTCCTGTACTTCTATCTGCATCTTCATATATCACAAGTCTCCATTTTCAACTAACCTAGAGTCTACACTTTATCCTTGAGATTTAAAATGGAATGGAGCTTGAAAAATAGAAAAACAAAATCCCAGCTACAGACAAGGAAATTATAAAACCAACTCAGAGCTGCCACCTCTGCCCTGGACAATTTTATTTACTTTAAAGATTTATTTATTTATTATGCATACAGTGTGCCTGCATGTGCACCTGCAGGCCAGAAGAGGGCACCAGATCTCAATACAGATGGTTGTGAGCCACCGTGTGGTTTCTGGAAATCAAACTCAGGACCTCTGGAAGAAGCAGTGCTCTTAACAACCTCTGAGCCATCTCCCTAGCTTCTACCCACTAAGGACACTTTTAGGCAACTCTGTCAAGAAAGCAACTAAAGAGTGACTTTTCTTTTTGGTTGTTGTTGTTGTTGAAGACAGGGTTTCTCTGTGTAGCACTGGCTGTACTGGAAATCTGGAGGCAGGCGCTGACACAGAGGCCATGGAGGAACACTGCTTACTGACTTGCTCAGCCCGCTTTCTCCTTTAACCCAGGCCCACCAGCACAGGAGTAGTACCACCTAGAGTGAGCTGGGCCTCCCACATCAATCACCAATCAAGAAGGCCCCGCAGACTTGCCTATGGCCAACCCCGTGGAGCACTTTCTCATTAAGAGTTCCTCTCTCCACATGACCCTAGCTTCTGTCAGAAGCATTGAAAACTAGCCAGCACAGCTGGGGAGACGCTCAGTGTGTAAAGGCATCGCCTCCAAGCCTGATGTCCCTCCCAAATCCAGTTCCAAGTCAGGTGGTAGGCGGAAATCAACTCCTGCAATTTATCCTCTGACCTCTGCATGATTACCATGGCATGTGTGTATGGATATTTTTAGATTTATGAGTGTTTTGCCTTCATGTATGTATGTGCATCACATGTGTCAGATGCCCCCGAGAAGAGGGAGTCAGATACCCTGGAACTGGGATTAGAGACTGTTTGTGAGCCACCAGGTGAATGTCTTCCACAAAAGCAACAAGTGTTCTTAACCACTGAGCCGTCTTTTCAGTTCTTTAAAAAAAAGAGAAAGGAAAATAACTGCTAAGTGTTTACCACATGTGGGTACCCATGGGGGCCACAGGAAGGCATTGACTCCCCTGGAGCTGGAGAACAGGTGGCTACTGACGACAATGCTGGGAACTGAACATGGGTCCTCTGGAGGAACAGTGACTACTCTTAACTGCCAAGCACTTCTCCACCCTCTTGCCATTTTAAAGCCATGGTCTTGTGTGGCCTGTGCTGATAAGCACCCAAGAGTGACACGGACTTTCTAATTTCCCTTCTCTTATCTCCAGTAGCTGGGATTACAGCCATGTACCCAGCATGCCCATTCGTGTGGTGCTGGAGACTGAACCCGGGAAATCACGTATACTAGACAAGTGCTCACCAAACTAGTCACTCCAGACAGGCCTGAGCTACAGAGTGAAGTCATTTCAAAAATAAAAATGAGAAACGGGGTGGTGAGATGGCTCAGCAGTTACGAGCACTTGTTCCCACATGGTGGCTTCACTATCATCCCCAACTCCAGCTCCAGGTGTTCTAGTGTCCTGTGATGGCCTCGGCATCTTGTGTCGGGCACATAAGTCACACATACACACACAGACAAGTCACACATACACACACACACACAAGTCACAAATACACATATTCACACACACATCACTCATAGACATAAATTAATCTTTATAAATTTTCAAAGAAAAGACAATGAAAAAGTTCACCACAGGCCTGTATCTTGTACATGAGCTCATTGTTAGTGAATCCCAGGTTTGACACCTAATGTTCACCAACTTCCTGCCTTGGCCTCTTAGGGACTTACCACTAAGTCCAGCATGAGAATTCAGCGAAAACCTTCCTTAGTTCCAGAACAATGGCTACTGTGCTTCAAGGCACATCAGAGGACCTGAGGAGGAACGTTTGCCCCGCTGATTTTGTGAAGTAGGATCAAGTAGCCGAGGTTGGCCTTGAACTTCAGGTCCTCCTAGGTCCACCTCATCAAGTACTCAGATTACAGGCACTAGCTCCACACTTGAAAGTTGTTTTGTTGTTGTTGTTTTTCCGGAAACATGTTTTCTCTGTGTTGCCCTGGCTGTCCTGAATTCACTCTGTAGACCAGGCTGACCCTGAACTCACAGAGATCTGCCTGCCTCTGCCTCTTGAGTGCTGGGATTGTTGCTAGTGGTGGTGGTGGTGGTGGCATATACATTTAATCCCTGGTCTACAGAGTGAGTTCCAGGACAGGCTCCATAGCTACTAGGAAACCCTGTCTCAAAGAAAACAAAATAATAATATATAAATCTTAAAAAAAAAAAAACCTGAAATGAGGAATAAGTATTTTATCTGTATATGTATGCATACATGTGTGGTATACAGGTATATATTGAATGGCTCACTGATCTGTGCATTCTCCTTGAGCTTTTGTTCCATTTTTAGTATATGTGCTGCTGAAGCAAACACCATGATTTTTTTAGTTCAAATTCATGATGCTGAGGGCCCATGCTCTAAAACTTAAGCACTAAAGAGAAGAATTTGGCATTATCAGGTTATACCTTTAGGTCTCAAAGCTGTGTGCGTGTGAGTCAGGGCATCCTCTGGTGTTGGTCTCCATCTTCCACCTTATTTAAGTCAGGGTCTCCTTTCTGTTGTCCACTCACGTATGCCGGTTCAGTTGGCCCGAGAGGGTCCCGGGCCTCTGTTCCCACCTCCGTCTCATGGAAGGGCAGCAGGACTCCAGATGCAGTTACAGTGCTCAGTTTTACAGGGCTTCTTGGGTTTGGAACTCAGTCCTCATGCGTACGCAGCAAATGTGTACCTTGGAGCCATCTCCCCAGCCCAAGACTGCATCTTTAAATTGTTTACAGTGCTAGAGCCCAAACTCAGGGTACTTGCAGCTGCTGGGCAAACCCCTCACCAAGCATGACAATCCCTTAAAGGGGCTTCACTCATGATTCCTCGCTGCTTTATGTAGATCTTCTAGGAAGAGCCTGGGTTCACAATCACACATCTATGTTTACCTTCCCATTCAGTAAAGAGGATGGGGAGCAATGGGAGAAAATACAAAGAAAGAGAAGAGGCAGGATGTCAGACAGCCAGGCCTGGTCAGAGAACCAGCTGTCTGGCTTCTGCTAAGACATGGGAAACTGAGCAGAGCTCTATGAACTCCCTGAAGCAGGGTGAACACCTCAGTTCACCATTCAGCCCCCGGGCAGCAGCTCACTGACACCGAGCGGGTTCTCAGGCCTAGCAGTCCGTCAGAATGACAGCCTGTTGGCTTGTAGACACCTGGAGGCTTTTGTCTGATGGGTTTTGCTTTGTTTGCTTTTTATTTGTTTTTGAGATAGGGTCATGTGTTGGCCTCAAACTCACAGAGATCCTCCTGCCTCTACCTCCTGAGTGCTGGGACTAAAGGTGTTGCACCGTGCCTGACTATCCCCAATGTTTGCAGCTTAACAATCATAGGGTTAGCGGCATAGATGACTCTTTCTGTTTGGCATCTCCATTGTCTTCTGGCGACTTCATGGCCACTGTCATACCCACTATCATGGCCTCACATCCTTCACCAGGATGGCAATCTGCTCCCAAAGCTGCCGCTCCTCTTCCTGCGCTTTGCTCTGGCTTCTCCATCTGAGCAGCTCAGCCTGGTGGTCCTGGTGGTGCATAGGACAGTAGCTCTGTGGTTCACACAGCTCCTGAAAGGTAGGGGACAAGGACAAGGTCTCCTTAGGCTCCTGAGCTCTGCCCACGAAGGACAAGAGGTGCTGCTCCCAGTGGCTGAGCTGTATTTTCCTCTCAGGATGTTTACAGTTTTGGAGGTTGCAGGCTAACGCTGGCTCTTCCGAGTCTGAGCCACACCACCACCACCCACCTCACCTCATCTCCACATCCCACCATGTTTGGGCTCTTCCATGTCCCTTTACCATATATTCTGGAAAGAAGTCTCTGTAGCCCCCTTTGAGGATATACAGCTCTGGGTAGTATAATGCCGGGTACTGGTTCAAAGCTCTGTCTTTTTCTCTCAGAGAACGGCACCTTTAGAGAAAATCCAGAGATGAATTGGGTGAAGGAAGCAAAAAGTCAGGAGCCCGCGAGCCTTCAGTGGGGGTTGGGGGCAGACCATGACTAACTTCCCAAAAGAACCTTTGTGGCTAACCAAGGTCCAAATAGCATTCTCTTCCATTTCCTCCATTGAAGCTTCATCCCCAAACCTCTTTGTGTGTGTGTGTGTGTCTTTACATGGATTTTTGTTTGTGTTTTGTTTTGTTTTTGAGACAGGGTCTCAAACTCAAAGAGATCTGCCAGCCTCTGCCTCCAAAGTACTGGGATTATAGGCATGCGCCACCGTGTCTGGCTCTTTTTTTGAGACCGGCTCTCTAGCTCAAACTGATCTAGAACCCAGGAGGACCTTAAACTTCTGTTCTTCCTGGTTGTGTGACTCCCACCTTTCCAGGTGGGATTCTAGGTGTGTACAGTCATGACCAGTTTTATGCAATGTTGGGGATCAAACCCAAGGACATGCATTCTAGGCAAGCATACTGCCAGCTGAATCACATCTCCAGTGCCCAGTTCTTCCCTTTAGTGCTCAAACTTCTGAATCTGGGAACACTTTTCTTCAATCACCCTAAGGCATGGAGTCTTGCAGCCTCACTGCTGGCAGTGGGAGGTTACTGCCCAGCTTGTTCACATCTTGGTGAATGAGGAAGCAGGTATGGGACAGGAAGTAGGGCTGGACTACAACCCCCAAGGCCCAATCCTATGGCCTGTGTGTTCTAGCCAAGACCTGTGTCTCAAAGTTTTACACCATCTAACTGCAGTGGAAGGAGCTCATTCGGGTTAGTCTGTCTAAACTGGTCTGACAAGTCTCAAGATCCATTTCCATCGCCAACCTTAGACACTCACATTCGGGGGCCTCGCTCTGAGGAGAATTCACAGAGGAACACAATGATGATTCTTTTCTGGCCATCCAGAGGGACAACAGGCTTCTTCAGGAAGAACTCATGCAGTTCCTTCTGACTGTACAGGTTTAAGGCTCCCTGTAGAAAAGGATGTTAGTAAGAATTTCCTCAAGGGCTTGTGTCCAGTCAATACTCAGGAATGCCTGGGATACTATGCGGGGATATTCAGGCCAGAAAGACTAGGCAAGAAGACATTTCAGGGCAAAAGGCTAAGCCTATCTCTGTATCTACCCTAGGGCATGGCAAAGAGTTTGGTTTGTAGCTGCTCCACGCCTGTTCACAGAACTGAACCACTGGAGTACAGGTTAAACTCTGAGAACTGTGTGTGAACATTAAATGTTTGCAAGTGTTCCTGGTTCTCCGACTGTTTTTACTTCGGGGCTCCCACAGGAAAGAGGGAGATTATCTAGGAGGGAAAGGAATTGCTCAAGGCACAGACTTAACACAGACATGAAGATTCCCTCTGATGTGATCCAAACGGATAATCCCCGTCCTGGTGCTAGATTTCAGGACCCTCGATCCCATTCACTCTTCTCAATAAACCCAAATCTCCAGCCTCTTCCTTGCTAATGTTCCCAGTGTCACCTCACCAGGATGTGTCCTCCCAGGTACTCATACGGATAGCGGCAATCGATGATATAAAACTTCTCAACCAGATCCTGGAACTTTCCAGACAGTAAATCAGCCACCTGCAGGGAAAGGGAGACTGAACATCCTGTCCGCTGTCACTCAGAGAGAGGAGCCACAGCACCTTTTTGTATACTCCCATTTGTCACCCAGGGCCGCGCTGCATGCACAGGCTCCAGAGGTAGCCTGCATCTGCAACATGGCAATGGTTAAGCCCAGTCCCACATATGAGCATGAAGCGGAGATGCCTGTGCAGAGGCCCCATGTGGCTGATGTTGAGGTTACCTATCCATCTAGAGACAAGCATGGTCACCAGCAGCCTCTCAGGAGACGTCCGAGGAGGACAGCAGTAGCGTAGTAGCTAGAGAACCCAATTTTATAAGAAGACATGGGAAATAGTTCCCCATTCACCAAGTCTTTCAGAAAACATACAGGTGAGGATTTGTATTTAAAGGGGAAAACTTAAAATTGCATCTAGAAGAATAAATTAGGTTCAGCCTTTCTAGAAAGAAACTTTATAAATACATATAAAAATACATAAAATTATACCTCCTATTTTAAAGTCTTTGTTTTGAAGAGATAAAGTCTTATGTTGCCCAGGCTGTCCTCAAACTCACTATACCTGAGGATGACTCTGAACTCTTGACCCTCCTGGCCCTGCCTCCTAACTGCTGGGATTAAAAGCATGTACTCACTACCCCCAGTTTCTTCTAACACTTTAAGTAAAAATTCACAAATTGATATTCATCTTAGCATTGTTTTAGGACACTGAAATATTAGAAACAACTTAATATTCAATAAGAAAGGTTTAGTTAAATAAACTATACATTCTGGTATAATGGATTATATAGTTATTAAAATAATACAGTGCATCTTTTTCTTTGTTTTGTTTTTCAAGGCAGAGTTTCTCTGTATACCCCTGGCTGTCCTGGATCTCTCTATAAATCAGGATGGCCTCAAACTCAGAGATGTACCTGCCTCTCCTCCCAGGTGCTGTGCTGGGATTAAAGATGTGTGCCATGACAGGCCTTTTTTTTCTTGAGACAAGGTCTTACCATGTAGCCATTGCTGGCTTCAAATACTTACAATAATCTCACCAAGCAAAAGTGTAACTTCATCATTTTTTTATAAACTAAAATTAATCCCAGTACTCAGAAGAAAGAGGCAAGCAGATCAAGGCCAGTGTGATCTACATAGCAAGTTCCAGGCCAGCTCAAACTACATAGAGAGATCCTGTCTCAAAAAGAGTGAGAAGAGGCAGGAGGATGTCTGAGTTTGAGGCCAGCCTGGTCTACAAGAGCTAGTTCCAGGACAGGAACCAAAAAGCTACAGAGAAACCCTGTCTCAAAAATTAAAAAAAAAAAACAAAAAAAAAACTACACAGTGAATTTACAAACAGTCTGGGATAAAGGAGACTTTTTCAGAGTCATCGTGTATGTGTGTGTGTGTGTGTGTGTGTGTGTGTGTGTGTGTGTGTGTGATTCTGCTGCTATTGTTTGTGTGTATGTGTGTGTGTTGTTGTTGTTGCTATTGTTTGTGAGAAAGAGAGAGACTGCTAACATATAAATAAGTGTTCAAGGCTACTTTGGTCCCAACTGAATAATTTTTTTTCTTTTTATGTCTTCCTTCCCTTCTCTCCCTTATTTATAATATATCATTTACTTAATTTAAAAATTTTAAAAGGCAGAAAAGCATGGTGCACACACCTTTAATCCCAACACTCCAGAGGCAGAGGCAGGCAGATCTCTGTGAGTTCCGGGACAGCTTGGTCTACAGAGGGAAACCTTATCTCTAAAATAGATGGACAGATTGATAAAAAGATAGAAAATGGATACAAAGAAGTCCTTCTAACACAGCCTCAGTGGAATAAGAAGCCCATGAGAGTGGACAGAGTGATGGCAACACAGACAAGGTAGGCTTTAGGGGCGCACAGGCCAGATGGCTGACGATATGATCACCCAGTTATCATCTGCAGAAATTTGCTTACTGTGTCCGGGGTGACGTACTTCAGATCTTGGTGTTTTCCTGACACCGTCGGCAGCACACACACCTAGAAAGACCCAAGAACTGAATTTACAGCAGGGATTCCCAGCCCAAGTCAGATCCAAGACTCCCACAGTGTCCTTTCCAAGTGAGACAGAGTTTCTCTGTGTACATCTATCCTGGAACTCACTTTATAGAGCAGGCTGGCCTTAACTCAGAGATCCCCCTGCCTTTGCCTCCAGAGCTCTAGGATTAAAGGTGTGCAACACCACATCTGGCTTTCAAGTGATATTAGAAAACCAAACAGCAATTCTGTTTCTAATAACCGATCCCTAGGAACTTTTCAAGGATGTACACAGAACTCTACATTTTCACAAGTATGCCCATTTTACTCATAAGGAAAGTTATAAACCCAAATGTCCCACAGAAAGGATTTATAGAGAAATCATGAATAGCCAAAGAATTAACTAATGAACAGATATTGAAAATGATGAACTACAGGTCTGGGGGATGGCTGGCTGCTTTCCGAGGACCCGGGTTCAGACCCCCAGCACCCACATGGTGGCTCAGGGGAGATGGCTGGCTGCTTTCCCGAGGACCCGGGTTCAGACTCCCAGCACCCACGTGGTGGCTCACAGTCGTCTCCAGCTGTAGCATCAATAGCTCTGATGCCCTCTTTCGGCCTCTGACGACACTGCCCACATGTAATGCATAGACACAGGCACACAACCCATATACATAAAACAAAAACATTTTGTTGGGGCTGGAGAAACGGCTCAGCAGTTCAGAGCACTGGCTGCTCTTCTTGAGCTCAATTCCCAGCACCCACATGGTGGTTCACAACTACATAATGAGATCTAGTGGTCTCTTCTGGCATGCAGGCAAAACTGTATACAAAATAAATAAAACTTTAAAAAAAAAAAAAACAACAACATTTTTGGCTGGGCAGTGGTAGCACACACCTTTAATCCCAGCACTCAGGAGGCAGAGGCAGGTGGATCTCTGTGAATTCGAGGCCAGCCTGGTCTACAAGAGCTAGATCCAGGACAGGCTCTAAAACTACAGAGAAAACCAAACCCTGTCTAGAAAAAACAAACAAACAAACAAAAATTTGTTGTTGTTTTCTGAGTCTCACTACGTAACTCTGAGAGTACTGGAAATTACTACGTAGACCAGGCTGACCTTGGATTAACAGAGATCTGGCGCCGGGCGGTGGTGGCGCACGCCTTTAATCCCAGCACTCGGGAGGCAGAGGTAGGCTGATCTCTGTGAGTTCGAGACCAGCCTGGTCTACAGAGCTAGTTCCAGGAGAGGCTCCAAAGCCACAGAGAAACCCTGTCTTGAAAAAACAAAAAACAAAACAAAAAAAAAAAAACAGAGATCTGGCTACCTAAAGGTGTGCACTATTTGATGAAATGTGGAGCTGGAGACATTGCTCAGTAGTTAAGAGTACTTGGTGCTCTTGTAGAGGACCAAGGTTCATTTCTCAGCACCCACATTATAGGTCACTGGCCTGTACTGATATTCAGGCAAAACACGTAAAAACAAAATAAAAATAAACAATTCTGTTGTTGTTGTTAACAATAAAATGGGGGTTAATCCCAGCACTCGGGAGGCAGAGGCAGGCGGATCTCTGTGAGTTCGAGACCAGCCTGGTCTACAGAGCTAGTTCCAGGACAGGCTCCAAAGCCACAGCGAAACCCTGTCTTGAAAAACCAAAAAAAATAAAAAAATAAAATGGGGGTGGTGGGGAGATAGGTCAGGTGAGAAAATACAACTATGAGGACCCACATTGACCCCCTAGCATCCACAAGCAAAGCTAGCGGGATGGTATGCATTTGTAATCCCAGAGCTGGGGTGGCAGAGGCACAAGGATCCTTGGAGCTTGTCTAGACTCATCTATAAGCCTAGGTTCCAGTGAGAGACACATGGTGACAGCTCCTGAGGAACACCAAAGGTTGACCTATGGCTTCACATGGACGCATACACTAAAGCACATACAGCAGCCTCCACACACCCAAAGTCAAAAGATTAAATGTTCAAGAACTGGTATACATCTGTAATCCTAGCATTTGGGAGATTGAAGCAGAAGGATCCTGAGCTATGAGATGCTATCTTTTTTTGAGATGGTTTCTCTGTGTAACAGCCCTGGCCATCCCAGAACTCACTCTGTAGTGCAGGCTGGCCTCAAACTCACAGAGAGCCGCCTGCTTCTGCCTTCCAAATGCTGGGATTAGAGGCGTGAGCCACCACCTCCTGGCAATATGAGATATCTTAAAAAACAAAAACATAAGCCAAGTGGCTGTGCATAAGCCTGGCAAAAAAATAGGCTGTCTCAAAAACAAAAACAAAAACAGGACCAGAGGTCAGTGGGTAAAGGTATTTGCCACCAAACTTGAAAACCTGAGTTCAACCCCAGGACCTACATAGTAGAAGGAGAAAGCCAGCTCCCGTAAGTAGTTCTCCAGTATATGACACGATCACTACACACTCATGCACACGCACACTCTCTTGCACACTCCACACTCTCATGCACACGCACACTCTCATGAACACACACACTCGCATGCACACTACACACTCTCATGCACACGCACACTCTCATGAACACGCACACTCGCATGCACACTACACACTCTCATGCACACGCACACTCTCATGCACACTACACACTCTCATGCACACTCACACTCTCATGCACACTTCACACTCTCATGCACACGCACACTCTCATGCACACGCACACTCTCATGCACACTCCACACTCTCATGCACACTCCACACTCTCATGCACACTACACACTCTCATGCACACGCACACTCTCATGCACACTACACACTCTCATACACACTACACACTCTCATGCACACTACACACTCTCATGCACACGCACACTCTCATGCACACTACACACTCTCATGCACACTCACACTCATGCACACTACACACTCTCATGCACACTACACACTCTCATGCACACTACACACTCTCATGCACACTCACACTCTCATGCACACGCACACTCTCATGCACACTCACACTCTCATGCACACTACACACTCATGCACACTCACACTCTCATGCACACTATACACTCTCATGCACACTCACACTCTCATGCACACGCACACTCTCATGCACACGCACACTCACTCGAAAAACTTAAAGGCGTTAACAATAAAAACATTGTAAAAGCAAAGATAAATGATGAAACAGAACTGTTTGCTGCTGGGAAGATTGTCTGCCTGAGGTCTGAACCCAGGGCCTTGGACATCTAAGCACACATTCTATCACTGTTACATCTCCAGCCCCCACCTGAAAGCTTCGGCTGTGGTTTGGGGACAGGATCTCACCACCCCGCCTCAGAAAAGATGGCAGTTTGAGGATCCAGTCCGAAACCTGGGCACAGCAGGCAAGCATTCTCTCTACCACTTGAGCTGTGCTCTTATTCCGAGGAGCCCACAAGATGACATAAAACAACAGAGAAGCACACAAAACCTCAGCAGACCCAAAAGAGCATAACAGTTATTTTTTTTTTGTTAGTGAGGGCTGGGGGATAAAAATACTGTCTGTGTGTGTCTGTGTGTGTTTGTGTGGAAAAAGTCTGTAGAAATAGAAATATACACAAAAAATAATCTTCCTGGTTAAAAAGGTTTGGAATAAATTTTTCTACTTTTTTATATTAACCAAGTATTAATATCATTTTACTTATTTGCACACACACACACACAAACTGCTTTTGGAGACAAGGTCTCACTGGATAGTCTGGTTTGCTAGAACTCACTATAGAGTTTAAGCTGATCTGAAACTTGCAGCAATTCTCCTGCTTCTGTCTACTGAGTGCTGAGACTATATATATGAGCCGTTATACCCAGCTTAAAAGATTTTTAAACATCCTAAAAATTGTGTGTGAGAGCTACAGAGATGGCTCAAAGGGTAAAAGCATTGGCTCCTCTTCCAGAGGTCCTGAGTTCAGTTCCCAGCAACCACATGGTGGCTCACAACCATCTGTAATGAGATCTGGCGCCCTCTGCTGACACGTTGGCACACATGCAGGCAGGACACTGTATACACAATCAATAAATGCCTTTGAAATGTGTGTGAGGGTGACTGTGGGTACTCATGCGCCACCATGCGTGTGTCAAGGTCAGAGAACAACTTTCCGGAATTGGTTCCTTTCTTCCACCACAAGCTCCAGGGTGCTTTTTGCCTGCTGAGCCATCTTGCCAGCTCTCAAAAAGATATTTCTAACAAGAATAAAGGATACAAAGTTTCATATACATACCAGGGTTGTGGATTTTTCTTAGATAAACAAGAAATACCTTCTTAGTAGACAGACTTAGGGTTGAGGTATATATACCTTTAAGTCAGCAAAGCACATTTAGTGTTACATCTAGCATCCTCTGCAAACAGAAATTAAAATCCAGACGATTCAGCCTGGTGGTGATGGCACACACTTTTGATCCCAGCACTCAGGAGGCACAGGCAGGGAGATTTCTATGAGCTCACACACACACACACACGCACGCACGCACACACACACACACACACGCACACACACGCGCGTGCACGCACATGCATAGTAAAGGCAGATAGAAACAAACTCACGTTGGAGAAATCACCAATCAGATACCCTTGTTCAGACTCTTCCTCCTCCATCTGAATGGCATTGATGCCACAGAGAGGGGCCATCTTCTTTAGACTTAAGCTCTGAAATGACAAAACTCTCACTTACCCCAATTCTCATGTTAAAGATTTAAAGAACAATCAGAACCACTGATGACAACTTATGCTGGAGAGGTTGTGGGGTAAAGGGAGCGCAAGCTGGTACAGTCCCTTCAGAAGTCAGTGCGGCGATTTCTCAGAAAATTAGGAAACAACCTTCCTCAAGACCCAGTAATACCACTTTTGGGTATATATCCAAAGGATGCTCAATCATGCCACAAGGACATGTGCTCAACTATGTTCATAGCTGCTTTGTTTGTCATAGCCAGAACCTAGAAACAACCTAAATGCCCCTCGACCAAAGAATGGATTAAAAAAAAAAGTGGTACATTTACACAATGGAGTACTACACAGCAGAAAAAAATAACGACAGCTTGAATTTTGCAGGAAAATGGATGGAGCTAGAAAACATAATTTTGAGTGAGGTAACCCAGACCCAGAAAGACAATTATCACATGTGGTTTTTAAACAAAAAGCAAAGAAAATCAGCCTATAAACCACAATCCCAGAGAACCTAGACATCAATGGGGACTAAGAGAGACATACATAGATTTAATCTACATGGGAAGTAGAAAAAGACAAGATCTCCTGAGTAAATTGGGAGCATGGGGACCTTGGGAGAGGGCTGAAGGGAAGGGAGCAGAGAAAAATGTAGAGCTCAATAAAAATCAATACAATTAAAAAAAAAAGGTGTAAAGAACAGGGCTGGCAAGATGGCGCAGTAAGTAAGGTACCTGCTGGCGCCTGGCAGCCTGAGTTCAATTCCCAGAACCCATATAAATGTGGAAGGGAGAACCAGCTCCACAGTCTTCTCTAGCCAGGCAGGGTGGTGCACGCCTTTAATTCCAGCAATTGGGAGGCAGAAGCAGGTGGATCTCTCCTCCATTAAACACTGCTACCCTGTGTTTACACACACATATACACACAGATGTGTGAGATAAGAACATACATGCTTTATTTTAGGGAGAAGCAGAGATTGAGACAGGCTGGCCTTGAATTTGGACTTCTCTTGCCTCAGCTTCCTGAGTGCTGGAATTATACAAATTGCTCTTAATACTTTATCATATGGACAGGAATTCTGTGGAAGTTATCATGTCCTCCATTTGACATACGTATTTGTGTAACCCACGTGCATGTGTGCACGTGTCTGTGAATGCGTGTGGAGGCCCTAGGTGGACGCCAATAGTCTTCCTCAATCGCTCTCCTCATTCACGGAGGCAGTCTGTCAACTGAACGGAGAGCTGGCTGGTGAGGCTGCTCTACTAGCCTGCTGACCCCAATCTCCGTCTGTGTCTTCCCCTTTCTAGAGCTGGATTGCAGGTGGAACCACCCAGCATTTATGTGGGTTCTGGGACTTTATAAGCTGAGCCTTCTGCCCAGCCCTGCTCTCCCATTTATAAGGGAAAACTGAGGCTCGCAGTAGATGGCAGATGGCCTAACACAGGAACTGAAACCCATGGACCACATCTGCCTTGTGAACTCACTACACTTAGCTTGTGGAAACAGGGTATCCCTCTGCTACCCTGGCCAACTTCGAGCTCGAGGAAACCTTCCTGTCTCAGCGCACCAAGTGCGAGAATTATAAGCATCAGCCACCAAGCCTGGCAAATCATTTATCTTTAACTTTATAAAGTTTCAGTACAAGGGTGCATTGTATGTCGAGTGCACTATTTCCAAACCCCTCATCCTGCCCTTTTGTGTCCATCCACTTCCATTAGTCAGCTTATCCCTCCAGACAGAGTTACTCCACTTACAGGAGTGGATTTTCAAACATCTTTGCCCACATTAGTTTCAAATCAATGAAGCTGATTCAGAAGTGCTAAACACCTCAGAAACTATCTCTGGAATGTCAACACACACATACAAGGCACAAGCAGTTTCAAATTATCTCCTAGTGGTGTGGGAAGTACACCATAAAACACTTACAAGATCCTGCCTTGTAAGTGATGATTCCAGTCATCACTTCTGCTGATGCCTCAAATTACTGACTAAAATTTCTCATCCAGTAATAGGGTGATCTCCATGGTGACAAGACTCTATCCGTCAGGTGAGTCTTTGAGTCTAAAGACTTCTTTCTTTCTTTCTTTCTTTCTTTCTTTATTAATTAATTAAAATAAAAATTTGAACTTAAACCCTGATCTTCTGAAAGAGCAGCCCGGGCTCTTAACTGCTGAGCCATCTCTCCAGCCCACTACCCCTTTGAGACCAGGCCTCACTAAGTAATCAAGGCTGGCTTTTCACTTACAACCTTCCTGTTTCTATTTACCAAGCAGTGAAATTATAGGCATGTATCATGACTAAGATCCTGGCTTTTTGTTTTGTTTTCACAGCCCTGTACAATAGGTATAGACTAGGGGCTGGAGAGATGGCTCAGTTGTTAAGAGCATTGCCTACTCTTCCAAAGGTCCTGAGTTCAATTCCCGGCAACCACATGGTGGCTCACAGCCATCTGGAATGAGGTCTGGTGCCCTCTTCTGGCCTGCAGACATACACACAGACAGAATATTGTATACATAATAAATAAATAAATAAATAAATATTTTAAAAAAATCCTAAAAAAAATAGGTATAGACTATTGTTTACTTAGGAACAAATGTAGAAGCTCATACCTGTAATTCTAGCACTTGGGAGACTGAGGCAGGAGGATTAAGGAGTTCCAAGACAACCTGGGCTATACAGTGAATTCTAGACCAGTTTTGGATACAAGTAAGTTCTAGGACAGCCTGGGCCTCAAAGTTAGACCCTGTCACAAACAAACAAACAAACTGAGATGGACAATTTGGAAAAGCAGCACACCTGTAGTCTTAGTATCCCGGGGGCTAAGACAGGAGTGTGCTGTCAAAGCTGCTCTGAACAGCAATGTCAGCAACTCGGACTACATCCTGAGACCCTGTTTTTAAAAAACTAAGACAGCAGGGCGGTGGTGGCGCACGCCTTTAATCCCAGCAGTAGGGAGGCAGAGGCAGGCGGATCTCTGTGAGTTCAAGGCAAGCCTGGTCTACAGAGTGTGTTCCAGGGCAGCTAGGGCTGTTACACAGAGAAACCTTGTCTCAAAAAACTAAAAGAAAAAAAAAAACCAACCAAAAACAGAAAAACAACAACAACAACAATAGCAGAAACCAAGGGCCACTGAGATGACTCAGCTCGTGAAGCCTGCTGATCTGAGATTGATGCCTGGATGATAAGAGAGAACTAACTTTCACAAGTTGCCCTCTGACCACCACACATATGGCATGCACATACACACAAACATACAGACAGATGCACATAAAAAATGAAATGGAAAAGAAAGGATGAAAAATTGAAAATAACAGAATACCGTACCTTGGTGCCTTGGTCTTCCAGGGAAAACTCCATTGGCTCCTCTGAAATCCCTTCTTGGTCTTCTAGCTTTAGATTTTGACTCAGTTTTGGAACTGTAGTAATGGGACTGCCCAGACACCTCATTTCATTTTCCACCATGATTCTATTTTCCTATCAAGTATATTGACGAGATTAAAACCTAGTTAGGGCTGAGTGGGAAAGCACATGTCCATGATCCCACTAATCAAGAGGCTGGTACAAATGGAAGAGCAGGCCAAGGCAAGCCTGGGCTACATATTCAAATCCTGTCTCAATGAAGGAACAAAAAATGAAAAATAACAAACAAGAAACCCTGACTTTATTCAGAACACTTGTATCAGTCAGGGGAGGGGGATGGTAGCGCACACCTTTAATTCCACACCTTTAATTCCGTTGCTTGGGAGTTGGAGAGTCCTTGAATTCTCTGTGAGTTCAAGGACAGCCTGGTCTACAAGAGTTAGTTTCAAAGCTACAGAGAAACCCTGTCTTGAAAAACCGGAAAAACAAAACAAAACCAGAACACTTGTATCATGTACAAAGACTGACTCAAAATATACTAACAATATAAATGTAAGAATTAAAAGTGTACAACTCTTAAAAGCGACCTGTAGGGGCAGAAACCTATAACATCAGGACTCAAAAGACCAAAGAGGAGGACAGAGAACAGGCATTCAAGGCTAGCCTGAGCAGTGAAACCTCACTTCAAAAAAGAATAAAGAATCTAGGCAACATGCATCGTGGCGCAGGGTTGTTATCCTAGCACTAGACTGAGATATCAGGATTGTTGTAGGTTTTAGGACAGCCTGAACTACATAGCGACTTCCAGGCTAGCTTGAACTACAGAGTGAGACCTTGTTTCAAAAACCCAAAAAGAAAGGAAGAGAAAAGAAGAAGGAACCAAAGGCCTAAGAAAAATTCTCACTCCATAGTTTAAACACCTAAAAAGACAGAGATTGGATTTACTCCCTCACCCTTTTATCACCTAAAGCAGCTCAGAAAGAGTCAACAGGCCAGAAGTCCACAGCTTACTCTCTGGTCCATGATACTCCAGTCATCAACACATCCAACAACTCACCAGCACAGGAAGGGGAGAAGCCAGGGGCTCTCCAGGCAGGTTTCGAAACCTCAGGGTCCTAGGTGCCTCCCACTCCAGTGTCTTCAGATTGGTGTTTATCTGCATAAGAAAAACTGCATTGGCTGGAGGAAGAGAAGTAGTAATGTCTGCCAAAAGAATCATATCTCATGAACACATACACACAAACATCAAATGCGTATCGGAAGATATATAATACTTTGGACTTCATGTCTGATACTTAGATTTGCTTTGGAGAATACAAATTTTATCATCATAAGCAAAAGGATAGAGAAGAAAGTTTGCTTGGGAAGGTATATTTGCATATAGGTTGTACTACGCGTGCCTACACCTACAAACACAACATGACCATTTCAAAACAATCATTTACATGATAGTAATGGCAATCTGTATACTTAAACTGATGAACTGGAGATAACTGATAACTTGCTATAGAGCTAGATGTTTGTCCTAAGGTTAAACATTAGGTAGAAAAACAAGGTTTTTTTTTGTTGTTGTACAGTGATGGAATTCACTTGTCTAGCATATTGAGCCTAGGTTTCATGACATCAAGCAGTTGTTCATTTAAAAAAAATAAAATTAATATAGCAAGGTTTCCACTAAATACTCACATTTTCTTTATTTGCAGATAGGTCACGCATTGCATCTTTTTTTCTGTGGCCATGGTCCAAAGCATTTGGAGTACTACACAGAAGCTGCACCTAAAAGACGGTGTCTACTGAAAACATCCAATCTCTGTAAGCAACACCACCAGCTGGGACCCCTCTGCTTCCCACCAGAGAAATAAAGCCACAGTCAAACCAAGGGAGAGTCTAGGCTGGGCTTGGTGATGCATGCCTGAAGTGTCAGCGCTCAACTCCAGCCCAGCTAGCCAAGCATAGTGAGACCCCTATTCAAAGAAAGGGGCGGAGGTAGGAAGGTAGGTGGGCAGGCCGGTCTACCTACTGGGATGCCTTTCATAAGGTCCTGGTGATGATTCCTGAAGATTAAAACAAAAACAGACCACTAGTCAGGTAATCCCCAAACACAGTTTGCACCTAACCACCTGGCTTTTCCTTTCTTCTATTCAAGGAGTCCTAGTGTTTATTTGTCTCTTCCAACAATACGCAGGGTATTAAATATCAAGACTCAGTGGCGTCCTGGGGAAAAGGCCCTCAGTTCACCAGCATACCTGACCTGGATGAGATAAACACGTGCACAAGAAAGTCTACTCTGATGCTAGGATGTACCCCTGGGGCCTTGGGTGAGCCCAGCGACCACCAGACAACACCTGCCACTCCTGTTCCCACACTGGCTCTTTAGAGCTGAGTTTCGATCTTCCCTCCCACAACCTACCTAGTCGACAAGCATGGGCTATTTACAACAACCCAAAGCCAGGCCGGTGGCCCGACACTGTGGAGCCAGCAGTCAGGTCATACTGGACAACAATGAGACCCAGCCTCCAAGAAAAAAGTATTGAAAGAGGAAAAAAACCAAAATCAATCCAGGTGGTGGTCACAAGCCTTTAATCCCAGCACTCTGGAGCCTGATCTACACAGAGAAATCCTGGAAGAAGAAGGAGAAGAAGGAGGAGGAGGAGGAGGAGGAGGAGGAGGAGGAGGAGGAGGGACAGAAAAATCAGTTCAAAGACAACAATGAATACAAGTAAAATTTTCACATGTACTCATAAAAGCTGCCATAGAAAGCTTTCCCCAGCCGGGCGATGGTGGCGCACGCCTTTAATCCCAGCACTCGGGAGGCAGAGGCAGGCGGATCTCTGTGAGTTCGAGACCAGCCTGGTCTACAGAGCTAGTTCCAGGACAGGCTCCAAAGCCGCAGAGAAACCCTGTCTTGAAAAACAAAAAAAAAGAGAAAGCTTTCCCCAGTGCGATTACATAGTATCTACTTATACACTATCTAAGGAGAGTCTAAGAAAACTAAAACAGTTAATTTAGAATAAGTATTGATTTTTGTTATGGTTTTAGTTTTTTTAAATATTTATTTATTTATTATGTATACAGTGTCTGCATGTACACCTGCAGGACAGAAGAGGGCACCAGATCTCATTATATGGATGGTTGTGAGCCACCATGTGGTTGCTGGGAATTGAACTCAGGACCTCTGGAAGAACAGCCAGTGATCTTAACCGCTGAGCCATCTCTCCAGCCCCATGGTTTTAGTTTTTTAAAATAGGGTTTCTCCAACCTTCCTCAAGACCCAGTAATACCACCTTTGGGTATATATCCAAAGGATGCTCAATCATGCCACAAGGACATGTGCTCAACTATGTTCACAGCAGCTTTGTTTGTCATAGCCAGAACCCGGAAACAACCTAAATGCCCCTCAACCGAAGAATGGATAAGGAAAATGAGGTACATTTATACAATGGAGTACTACACAGCAGAAAAAATAACGACAGCTTGAATTTTGCAGGAAAATGGATGGAGCTAGAAAATATCATTTTGAGAGAGGTAACCCAGACCCAGAAAGGCAATTATCACATGTACTCACTCATAAGTGGTTTTTAAACATAAAGCAAAGAAAGCCAGCCTATAAACCACAATCCCAGAGAACCTAGACAACAATGAGGACACTAAGAGAGATTTACATGGATCTAATCTACATGGGTAGTAGAAAAAGACAAGATCTCCTGAGTAAATTGGGAGCATGGGGACCTTGGGAGAGGGTGGAAGAGGAGGGGAGAGGCAGAAAGAGGAGCAGAGAAAAATGTAGAGGTCAATAAAAAATAGATTAAACAAAACAAAAAGCACAAGATGGAATAAAGGAAGTAGTAGGGGATTTTACAATCTGCCAGCATAAACACTTATTTTTATTTTCACAGAGCATGGAGTGCCAGAGTTATACTGGGAATGCTTTACAGTACTTATTGGGGGTGGGGGTGTGCACATACACCTTCTATAACTCTGGGAATAAAACTGACCAGTTAATAAAAAATAAATAAATAAACAAACAAACAAACACACAAAAGAAACACAAGTTCCTGACTCTCCTAGAACTTGCTCTGTAGACCAGGCTGGCCTTGACCTCAGAGATCTGCTGCCTCTGCCTCCCAAGTGTTGGAGTTAAAAGCGTGCGCCACCACTGTCTAGAATAAGTTTTGAGTTTAACCGAAGTCAGTTTTTATTCTGTGTACACCTCCTAGCTAAATATTTTAGGATCTCCAAGAGATACTTCATCATAGTTATAACAACTAACATAAAATGCTTGGTATTTGCTATATATATGTTTTGCTTCGTTCTTCTGTGTTTGTTTGCTTTTTGAGGGGAGGGGGTAGAAATGGGGACGGTACTTACAAAGCCCTAGGCTAGCCTCAGACTTGTTACATAGGTAAGGCTGCCCTGCCTCGACCACTGGAGTTTTGGAATTAGAATGTAAAGCATATCACCTGGCTCTGATTAGTATTTGTTTTTAACGTTTGGGTTGGATGGTATTTTGTTTCATTTAAGACAGTGTCTCAAATGGCCCAGCAGCCTTCTCACTTTTTTTTTTTTTTTTTTTTGGTTTTTCAAGACAGGGTTTCTCTGTAGCTTTGGTGCCTGTCCCGGAACTAGCTCTTGTAGACCAGGCTGGCCTCGAACTCACAGAGATCCGCCTACCTCTGCCTCCCGAGTGCTGGAATTAAAGGAGTGTGCCACCAATGCCCGGCAGCCTTCTCACTTTTAAGTAATCTTTTCAATAGCTGTTTTTAAAAAGTGCTACTATTGCCAAGCAGTGGTGACACACACCTTTAATCCCAGCACTCGGGAGGCAAAGGAGGACGGATCTTTGTGAGTTTGAGGTCAGCCTGGTCTACAGAGTGAGTTCCAGGACAGGCTCCAAAGCTACATAGAAATCCTGTCTCGAGGGGCTGGAGAGATGGCTCAGTGGTTAAGAGCATTGCCTGCTCTTCCAAAGGTCCTGAGTTCAATTCCCGGCAACCACATGGTGGCTCACAACCATCTGTAATGAGGTCTGGTTCCCTCTTCTGGCCTGCAGACATACACACAGACAGACGATTGTATACATAATAAATAAATAAATAAATATTTAAAAAAAAAAAAAAGAAATCCTGTCTCGAAAAATCAAAAGAAAAAAAAAGTGCTACTGTTATCTTTTATTATGAATAAAGAAAGTTTGATCCAATGAATTAAGAAACTGTGGGTCACAGCTGGTGAAGTAGTAAGTCACAAGGATCCAGACAATCTCATTCCTGACCCTGCATCCCGAGTCACTGAAATACAGCACCTCACACGTGCAGAGAAGCTCCAGCGTGCGCGCAGTATACCATTCCCTTCATGTAAAAACAAGATTATTTCTGTGTGTGCCGGTTTAAAATAGTCTGCATTTCACAACACAATTTAGAACCAGAAAACTTAAAATCTGTCAAGCCAGAATCTAAGGCCTCCAAGCCCACGAATACCCCAAGGGAAGAACTTCGCCGTCTGCGGAGTCCACAAAGGACTTCCCTGTGAGCAGTGAGGGCGTGCAGACCATTTTCAACAGCAGAACTTACTTCGCGGTTAACTGTGCATCCTGAGGTCCTGAAGAATCCAAGGAACCTGCAATCAGTTATGGAGAATAATGGGCTGGGCATGATGCTTACTTGGTAGAGTGTTTGTTTAGCATGCACAAAGTTCAATCCTCAGCACTGTATGAAAACATGGTGGCACACATCCGTTATCTCATAGTCTGTTACCCCCACCCCACCACACAAACACGCACTAATAATAAATAATTTGGAAAAAAAACATTAATTGGGCTAGAGAGATGGCTCAGAGGTTAAGAACACTTGCTGCTTTCGCAGGAGACCCAGGTTTGGTTCTCAACACCCACACGGTGCTCCACAACCATTCTCAGCTCCAGAATTCACTGTACATGCAGGCAAAACAACATAGGCTTCAGAAGGAATAAACACAAATATGCCTGCAATTCCAGAACCTGGGAGGTAAAGAAGATCAGAAGTGCAATGACTACGGAGTAAGTTTGAGGCCAGCCTGAGCTACATGAGACAGTCTCAAACCTCCACCTTCTCTCCTCGCCAAGAAAGCAAACAGAAAAGAAAGTGGCTATTCAGGAAATCTGAAATTACAGCAAACATTAGAATGGTTTACTAGCAAAATTTTTTGGTTTAGACCCAGAAACACACAGACACACGCGTGCACGCACACACACACCAATTAGTTGACAACGTATATCTTTTGAGTTTGGAGGGTACTGAGGACTGAATGAAGGGTCTTGTAGAACAAAGTATTTTTATGCCAATTTCTTTGCTTCTAGTGAGATTAAATTGGGATTAAAAAAAATTTACTGCACTTGCATCCGCACCATTAATCAGTCAACAAAATAAATTACTTCTTGAAAAACTTTTCTAATGCAAAGCAACTTCTATTACTGTTATTTTCTCTTTCCATTTATCATTCAACTAAAAATTATCTAACCTCAAAATTTCTACTTTTAGGCAAATGTTCTCTCTCAGGGCTTTGGTATGTGGTAGCGCTGGCTGGTCTCAACCTTCCAAGTTTTGGGTTTACATAAACTAATATACCTGGTTTTACATAGGTTCTTTATCTATTTTCACCATCTTCCATTTCTATGCTATTACCTTGTGTTCTCTCGAAAAAGTTATAATAAGCCTTAGCCTTTTTTGTTTGTTTGTTTGTTTTTCGAGACAGGGTTTCTCTGTAGCTTTGGAGCCTGTCCAGAAACTAGCTCTTTTAGATCAGGCTGGCCTCAAACTCACAAAGATCCGCCTGCCTCTGCCTCCCGAGTGCTGGGATTAAAGGTGTGCGCCACCACTGCCAGGCCAAGCCTTAGCCTTCAAAGGCTGAGCCACCTCTCCAGCACAAGCGATGTTAGCAGCTGAGAGCACTTGCTGCTCTTCCAAAGGACCCAGGTTCATTTCCTAGCATCTACACAGTAGCTCATCACAGTCAGAAATCCCAGTTCCAGGGGATCCAACTCACAACTCTTCTTCCGGCTCCTGAGGGTACCAGGCATGCATGTGGTACACATCATACATGCACGTGAAAAGCATTTATACACATAAAAATTAAATAAAGATAAAAATTTAAAGTTAGTTTTCTCTTTGAAGACTGTCCCCTACCGGTTTCATCAAAGTCAGCAGAAGCAGGAAGCTGAGAAGCAGACAGCTCTCCATTGCTAAGATTCGAAAGATCAAGGCAACGTTTTGGAGTTCCTCTGTTGAGACATAAGACTCTATCAAGACTCCCATTAGGGTATACTATCCTAAAAAGGTAGAGATCATGTCTTCATATGAAATCTCTCTCAGTTACCACCACAAAGGTCTAAACAGTATCCAAACCAATTTAGCTGCTATTTTGAAATAATTCAGACTGGGTTGAGAAAAACAATCCTCCACATTTCACGTATCTCCCTGACAACAGTGTGACAATGTGAGCCTCAATCTCTTCTCACCAACATACGGAGGTGATTTATTTAATGAGAACTAAAGGGATTTCTTTCTTTCTTTCTTTTTTTTTTTAGAATTTTACTACATTTTATTTTTGTATGAGCACATACTTGTGTGTGAAGGTCAGAAGACAACTCGAGGAGACAGTGGCTCTAACTGAGGTCATCAGGCTTGGTGCCATCTCACTGCCCAGTCAATAGGATCTAGAGCCCACATTCTCTATCCTGTTCAGTTTCTCCCTGGAATCTCTGCTACTCCTCAAACCTTGTCTGCTAGTGAGGTGTAAAGACGAAACGACCAGAGTCCAAAAGTACAGCACAAAAGCGGATACAATTAAAGTGACCAACTCACACAACATCAAAATAGAATTTTCAGAGTTCTCCCTAGACGGCACATTGACTCTGACAAGACAGGAAAAGATTATTCCTGTTAAGACAGAAATGGAGAGACGGCTAAGAGGTTAAGGGCACTGGCTACTCTTCCAGATGGACCCAGGTTCAATTCCCAGCAACCGCATGGTGGCTCACAACCATCTGTAATGAGATCTGGTGCTCTCTTCTGGTGTGGAAGCATATATGTAGCCATACACATAATAAATAAATAATTTTAAAAAGATATGATTTTTTTCTTTCTGTTATTATTTATTTGCAATAGAGTCTCACTCCATAGCCCAATAATTGTCCTGAAATTCAAGGTAAGCCCAGGTTGGCCCTGAACCTGTGGTCATCCTGTCTTCACAAACATACTCCACCAAGTCCCAGATAGAAAAAGATGTTTTTTATTGTTTGTTACATAGAAAGGAAGCTCAAGACTCAAAAGAGTCACATGTTCAAGGTCGTGGATGAGACTCAAACCCTGAAACTTGAAACAGGATAATTCAGCAAACAAACCTGCTCATAAAATCAAAAATAAGATGTAAAACTAAAAATTAATTTACTGGCTGGAGTGATGGCTGTGGTTAAGAGTTTGCTGTTCTCGCTGGGCAGTGGTGGCACATGCCTTTAATCCCAGCACTTGGGAGGCAGAGGCAGGTGGATCTCTGTGAGTTCGAGACCAGCCTGGTCTACAGAGCTAGTTCCAGGACAGGCTCCAAAGCCACAGAGAAACCCCGTCTCCAAAAACAAAAAAAAATAAAATAAATAAAAATAAAAATAAAAAAATTCTTCCAGAAGACTGTAGTTAGGATCCCAGCACCTATTTCAAGCAGAGCAACCACCTGTACAGGGGTACAATGTCTCTGACCTCTGAAAACACCTACAATCACAAACATATATCCACATGTGAAATACACACACACACACACACACACACACACACTCCTATACATCATTAAAAATAATAAGTCTTTTTTAAAAAATGAATTTACCCAGACAAAATGCTTAGGTTTGGCAAATCAAGGAGTTTGTCTCCTGGAGATCCGGGGAAATCTGAACGGGCGGTAAAAGAAGCATTTCTCTCCAAAATTAGGTGTAACATCTTCCTTTGACTGGACCTAAAACTGGGTGCTGAAACAGAACGTTCCTCTTCTCTTGCAGGTGGAAAGGGTCCTGTAGACATGACTTCCAAGTCTTCACCAAGGGAGGAGGGTTATCTAAGAGAAGAACACTGCAGATGTTCAACTTTTTCAAGCTCTCCGCCCTTTCCAGAGCCCGCCTAAGCCCGGGTGGAAGAGCAACCCCAAACGATCGAGTCTAAAGCAGCTGGAATGTCACACTGCAGTTGCTCAGAGAAAATTGGCTTGATCCAAATCATCCAGTTTCACACTCTTGACCAGAAAAAAATGAATCTAACTAATGCGATAAGGCTTTTGGGACCTCTGGTCCCGAAAGAATCCTGCAGGGACAATCGGGTTTCCGAGATTCCCGAACGGACACAGCTCTCCGCTTACCTTAAGTAGAGGCGGACTTAAACTTGGAGAACCTCCTGCAGGACTGGACAGAAGCAAAGATTCCAAAGGATGACAAAGAATCTGAGGAACAGAAGCGTTTCTTCGGGTTAAAATTGTATCTCTGTAACTAGAGGTCCAGCTTTGCAGCTTCTCTCCGGAACTGCCAGAAGGACAAGACCAACAGACATAGGCCAGTCCATTCAAACCTTCCGCTCTCCCAACAACCTATCACCGCCCGCCTGCCTGCACCGTCAGCCAATCAGCATTTCAGACCATGACCCCGCCCTCTGACCAATCACTAGGCTAGTATCTCTCCGGCACACAGAGAGCCTGATGTACATTGGCTCTCCCTCTGGCCAATCGGCACACCCTTCCTGTACACAGTTCCCGCAACCCCAGCAACCCGGGAGATTTAAATAGAGCCCCACTAAAGATGATGGTCTGGAGGAACTGTTTTTGAGTTGGAAGTGTTTCCTTCTCCTTGTTACTTTCTTGCGTTGTTTCTCTTGACTTTTGTTAGCTTTCGGCTGGAAATGGAGCATTTTGTCGCCGGCGTGGCAGTTGTTGGGGCATGACAGGAGTGTGTTGATGCTGAGTCGCCGCTGACCACTTCCAAGACGTTTTCTGGGTAGAAATTCCTGTTAGGGAGAATAGAGGAATTAAACCTTTTGACGTAATCCTTACGACATTCTAAAGGATCTTAACCTTTAGCTATTTATGTAGATTCGAACATTGACAAGATGAGGTTTATATGTAGGGAGATGGGTGGTTTCATGACTGTAACCCAGCATTTGAGAGACTGAGATAAGATCGTCGTGATTTGAGGACAGCCTGCACTGCACAGTCAGCTCCAGATCACCCTCGGCTAGAGAGAGACCCTTCTAGAAGGAGGAGAGGGCTGGCGAAGATTATTATATTAGTAGTGGTGGTGGTGGTGAAAATAGGAATGGAAGGAATGGAACCAGAGCCTTGGGAATGCTAGACAAGTACTGTCATTTAGCTGCTACTCCCCGGTAACAGCTTTTAGATTTTTTTTTTTTTTTTTTTTTTTTTTTGTCGAGATAGGGTTTCTTTGTGTAACAGTTCTGGCTTCCTTGGAACTCGCTTTGTAGACCAGGATGGCTTCAAACTCACAGAGCTCCATCTGCTGCTGTCTCTCCATGCTGCGATTAAAGGCATGTGCCACCACTGCCTGATTTCAATTTCTTTTATTTTTAATTGTGTGTGTGTGAGTGTGTGTGTGAGTGAGAATTTGTGCCAGTTGGGAGGTCAGAGGCTATCCCTCAGAGCTGGAGTTGCTGACAGTTATAAGCTGCCCAACATTGGTGCTGGGAACCAAATTCAATTTCTCTGCAAGAGCTATACGTCTCTTAACTGCCGAACCATCTCTCCAGCCCCTGAGCCCAAAAAGTTCTTATGTTGGTCTTTTTTATTTTCTTCAAATCTTTTGAGAGCGAGCGTGAGTATAGATTAGATAATTGGCCGTGAGTGTGGGGGTGATGACTGGGTGGGAAATTTTAGTTAACATACATACTAACCACCTGGAGATCCTGAGAAACTGGATTCTGATTCAGTAGGTCGGGGTATGAGACCAAAATTTCTACATTCATAACAAATTCTCAGTTGATGATGATGCCTCTGGCCCCAGGACCATACTCTTTTTTTTTTAAATATTTATATATTTATTTATTCATTATGTATATAATAATCTGTCTGCATGTATGTCTGCAGGCCAGAAGAGGGCACCAGACCTCATTACAGATGGTTGTGAGCCACCATGTGGTTGCCGGGAATTGAACTCAGGACCTTTGGAAGAGCAGGCAATGCTCTTAACCACTGAGCCATCTCTCCAGCCCCCAGGACCATACTCTTAAGTAACAAAGCATTATGCTATGATTTTGTGTGTTGTTTAGCCTAAATTTGTCTTCAGCTTGAAATCCTTCCACCTCAACCACTTGGATTCTGAGATTACAGGTGTGTGATCCCATACCCATCCAGTTTCCTATACTCTGCTTTAGAATAAATGTGAATATTTTCTTGTCTGTCTTGTTGTTTTGTTTTTGTTTTCTTGAGACAGGGTTTCTCTGTAGCTTTGGAGCCTGTCCTTAAACTAGCTCTTATAGACCAGGCTGGCCTTAAACTCACAAAGATCTGCCTGCCTCTGTCTCCCAAGTGGTGGGATTAAAGGCGTGCGCCACCACTGCCTGGCTCTTGTCTTTCTTTTTTATAATTTATTTATTTCGATTTCATGTACATTCATGTTTTCCCGCATGTAAATCTGCGTGAAGGTGTCAGATCCCCTGCCATGTGGGTGCTGGGAATTGAACCCAGGTCTTCTGGAAGAGCAGCCAGTGCTCTTAACCATTGAGCCATCTCTCCAGCCATTTTTTTTCTCTTCTTTTTTTTAAAAATATTTATTTATTTATTATGTATACAATATTCTGTCTGTGTGTATGTCTGCAGGCCAGAAGAGGGTACCAGACCTCACTACAGATGGTTGTGAGCCACCATGTGGTTGCCGGGAATTAAACTCAGGACCTTTGGAAGAGCAGGCAATGCTCTTAACCGCTGAGCCATCTCTCCAGCCCCTTTCTCTTCTTTTTAATGGGTAGTTGAGGCAAGGTCTTAACCTCAAACTCATGATTCTTCTGCCTTAACCGCCTAAATTCTGGGACTGCATGTCCCAGACTCCAGACTGGGAGAGCATGTGTCACCACACCTCTCTTGAAATTTTTTGTAATTAAATTTTTTTAAGATAGGTATGGTAATGTCCATTTGTAATCCCAGCTCTGCAAAGGATTAAGAAGAATTACTAGTCTTCACTACATAATGAGACCTAGTATCAAAGAAAATGTGGGGAACTTGGTGGTGAGAGCTTGTAGTCAAAGCCCTTGAGAGGCTGAGGCTGGAGGATCACAAGTTCAATGCTACCTGGGCTACCAAGTAAAATGATGTCTCAAAAACAAAGGACATGTTTTAATATAAAACCTTAGGAAGTATTTTAAATGCAGGTCAGTAGATCTATAGAGTATGGCCCAGGAATGATCAAGGCTGTCAGGTACTACTCATGCTAATAGCAGGCCACTTTTTGAGAAAAGTCAGAAAAATAACCTTTAAAGCTGGACTTGAGGACTAGAGACATGTCTCCGTGGATAAAGCATTTGCAGACCAAGCTTACGGACCAGATTTGGATTCCTAGAACCCACATAAATGCACGACGGCCTGCCTGTTATCTTAGCCTTCTGGAGGCAGAGGCACTTGGAGCAAGCTGGCTAGTTAGACTAGCCAAATCTGTGAGCTCTGGGTTCAAATGAGAGACCCTACTCCAATATACAAGGTGAGGACTAAGAGACCTGCCTTCAGGCACATATGCATCCACACATGTGGACAGCTGTACACATACACACCCCACACACACGTGGACAGCTGTACACATACACACCCCACACACACGTGGACAGCTGTACACATACACACCCCACACACACGTGGACAGCTGTACACATACACACCCCACACACACGTGGACAGCTGTACACATACACACCCCACACACACGTGGACAGCTGTACACATACACACCCCACACACATGAAAAAGAAACTGGGCTTGCTAGTGCACACGTTTAATTCCAGCACTCAGGAGACAGAGGCAGAGGGATCTCTGAGTTCAAGGCCAACCTTAGTCTACAGAGTGAGTTCCAAGACAGGCTCCAAAGCCACACAGATAAACCCTGTCTTGAAAACCAAAACCCAAAACAACAACAAAAACAAAAAATAGGGGCTGGAGAGATGGCTCAGTGGTTAAGAGCATTGCCTGCTCTTCCAAAGGTCCTGAGTTCAATTCCCAGCAACCACATGGTGGCTCACAACCATCTGTAAAGAGGTCTGGCGCCCTCTTCTGGCCTTCAGGCATACAGACAGAATATTGTATACATAATAAATAAATAAATAAATAAACAAACAAACAAAAATCTATAACCTTCATCTCCTATGAAAATCTTGGTGGTGATGGTGGAAGATAGATGCAGGATATTTTTTATCTGCAGAAACTGCTTCCCCAGAGAGGAGGTATGTGGAAAGTTTTTGTCCTCTAGGATAGAGATGGTAAGTGTGGGAGTCATCACAGAGCCCTGTCATGCCAGGTAAGTTGAAAAATAAGCCTGGGGTTTAAGGGAGTGTGAGGTGTGCTTATTTCTGCTTTGATGGCTACCATCATACTTTTCAAGGCACCGCATGTACTTCCCTGCAGGTGGGAAGTTGAGACAGATGAGGTAGTCCTGTAGCGGCGGCAGAAGCAGATAGACTGGCAAGGGCACACCTGGTTACTAGTGCTTTCTGCAGCAGGTCCCCAGGTGAGTGCAACTGGGGGCGCTTACAGCCAGAATGTCAACCAGAAGGCTGTAGCTCATGGTCGAGTGATGGAAAGATCACTGGCAGCTGAGTGCTCTAGCAGAGGTGAAAAATGACCAATTCTCCCACAATCTAGTCCCCCAAAATAAGTGTGAGATTTCTCTCAAGTAGAAAAAGCCTTAACCCAGAAGATTTTCAAAGCTTGTCCGTTTCTTTTTTCTAAAGTCTTTGTTGTGTTCTATTTTTAATCATTTTTCAAAAAGATTTATTTATTACGTATACAATGTGCCTCCTGTATGTACACCTCCATGCCAGAAGAGGGCACCAGATCTCATTACAGATGGTTGTCAGCCATCATGTGGTTGCTGGGAATTGAACTCAGGACCTCTGGAGGAGCAGCCAGTGCTCTTAACCTCTGAGCCATCTCTCCAGCCTCCCTGCTTTTGTCATTTAATGTCTGAGCTGTGTGAGTGCAGATGTGCCTGTCACAGTCAAAGGATAACTTTCAAACGTTGTTCTTTGCTTCTAGCACAGGCAGTTCTGGGGATCACACTTGGTCATCAGCCTCCCGCACCCTGGCAAATGTTTTTACCTACTGAGCCATCTTGTTGGCCCCCGTGTTTCTTTTTTTTATTATGAATTTTCTTTGTTGATGTACAAAGGAATGGATTTCTTTCTTTCTTTCTTTCTTTTTCTTTCTTTCTTTCTTTCTTTTTTTTTTTTTTGAGACAGGGTTTCTCTGTGGTTTTGGTTCCTGTCCTGGAACTAGCTCTGTAGACCAGGCTGGTCTCG